GTAGAACAAGGTGTTATTTTCTCACTCTTTTTGTTTACATGTTTCGAATTTCAGGCATTCTGATTGGTCAAGAACGCAAAATGTAAACAAACGCGCTGATTGGCTAACATTATTTGCCCTTGTTCTTCGGGTTAGATCTGGGAAGAATTGACTGGATGGATAACGAGCTGGGCACGACGTACTGGCCAACACTAAAACGAAAGCTTCAGTTCCTCAAGAACGAGTTGAATCTCTGTGACGATCAGGGCTTCTGGAAATCTTCAATCTACCATGGCTTTAACAATGACTCTGCGATCGAGAAGAACATTTTCAACGGCAGCCCAAATTATGTTCGTAATGGGTCCATAGAACACAAAGATCACGCTGTCTACTTGAAGGCTTTTCACAATTTGAACTTCACGGAAAATTACGTGCGAGGTTGGGATCCCGACTCGTCAGGCGGGATAAAGGCACGAAACGGAGAAGATCTCGTTATTGCGCGCAATTACGTAGACGATACAGGAATCTTGTTGTACATCCACAAGCAGGTCGTTCGACCGCTTCCGTTGTTTTTGAAGAATGTCCTTGTCTATGGCAACCACATTGTGGAACGCACCAAACCCGGCGACCGAAAAAGCGGTATCTTTTACCTTGAACCGTACCAGAATTTCACTGACGAGAATCTAGTTTACGCTGGAAATGTTTTCGAGATCGAAGGAGCTAATCCAACTTCAAAAGATTGTATATTCATTGGTAAACACGCTAACCTGAATCAGCACCACGTGTATGACGACAATATCTACGAAGGCACCACTCCTCCAGAACATGTGAACATTAAGGCCGCCCAAGGAACACTGCATTTTGAATCAGGGTCTGCTTCTGTGCCAAGGGACTACGTTGCCATGACTGTACCCCGGTACAATATCGCGCAGTATGCTCCCAAGTCTTCAAGTGGCTAAGATTGGTGAGTTTGAAGTGCATTCAATCAGGAATGCAAGACTTCCGCTTAATGTCAGTAGTTATACATTGTATTAGTTGATAAGTTAAACATGTGGATGTCTTTTCTCGTAATAAAAATGTAAGAAAAATTTTGAACGTATCTTTTAGTTATTAAAATCTTTAAACGACGAGACATACAGTAGGTAGGCAAGAACAGTAAAATGTATATAACTGGTCATGAATGCTACCTTGAGTACCTTCAGATAAACTGTCTATCTTTTTCTTGAAACCAAATCTGATCCCCAGATACGGGCCTTCTGAAAGCGAGCATGCCGTTTTAATTAATAAGAAAAACTAAAAGTTAAGTTTATTAATAGAAAGTTTTCACCGCTGATCATTCTCGTACCCAGAGCCCTTCTCACGCGCGCTCGACCGAGCGCGACGAGGGGCTCTGGCCAAATCCATAACCGGATACCATAAAAACATGGTAAGAAAACAATATCCGGTGTTAGAACTAGCCAATCAGATGCCAGTTCCGAATATGGATTTGGCCAGAGCCCTTCGTCGCACCGCGAGTAAGGAAGGCTATGGGTACGAGAATGATCGCTGATAAAAAGGATTTTTTGTACGCCAGTTTTCAAGAATACATGCATATTCATGTTGATGGATTGTCGTGCTCTTTGGATGCGTGGAACGACAGAGACTGGCGTTCAAGTTTGGCTTCAAATTTCCGGTTAGAGGAAGCGTTCCAGTGATACTCCAGTTTCAGATTCCCATCGCGTCGTCCCCAAGCCCCGCGTGCTCGCTCAGCTTAACCACTAATCTATATATAACAATGAAGTGCTTAGTTCGATTTTCCTTATAAGCGCCTGGGTACGAGACTGGGAAAATCGTGTCAAAACGCAATGAAATCCAACGATCCGAAAAGCTGATCGGGTGATTCTCGGTGAAATGTTTTTTCACTGGTTCAGTCCCGCCCTTACATCACTAGACTTTAGAACATAGAACTTCTGAAATGCACAGTGCATTGTGGGCTCTGGGTTTGAGATTGGCAATTAAAGCTTGTATATGGGCGAGATTCTGTGTTAATGGTAACATGTACTTTATAACAAAGACAAAACAATCCTACAAAGTATAAGATGACATGTGGCCAGACCATATTTCCGCCATACCTTTATTTTCTTGGGGGTGTAATATAACATAATGGTTCTAAGCTTTTTTTGTAAAACATGAGCGGTCGCGCCAGTATATGCCCATAGATAGTCTGAGATTTCGAAATACATTGGTTTTAATGTTTATTTATATAAATTGTAAAGCTTACAAGAAGTTACCAAGGTTCATGATTAGCCAGCAAAGCAAACTGGTGAAATTATACTACTCACTAAAAATTTCACTGGAGATTGTGGCTCGTCGAAATGATATATAATTACTATCAAAACTAACAGCTATATCATGCTAACATGCATGCATAAACAATCGACCATAAACATGCCCATTGTGCTTTACACGATTAGAGGTCGAAATTTTGTGGTTGTGAATTTTGATCTTCAGAGGACTACATCACAGGCAGACCGCGAAATGAGAGGCGATTTTTTCTATTTAACCTTTATTAAAATCTTTTGATAGGGATATTAATTTAATTTAATTTTATTTTATTTTATTACAACGACGTTTCGATGCTTCTTGCATCATTTTCAAGGTAAAGCTAAGAATTAAAGCTAAACATGATTAATTGTTATCTTTAAATTGAAAATGATGCATCGAAATATCGTTGTAATAAAATAAAATTAATATATCGCTATCATTTGTTTCAAAGTTAAATTTTTTCTGTGTGGCCTATGCGCGATGAAAAGTATTTTAATTCTTCTCAAAATTTCTTTGTACTACTAGCTTTATTCTCTAGTTTAAACAGTCTTAAAAAACTCATTAATAATTAAGTTAAATTAAAAAACTCATTAATAATTAAACAGTCTTAAAAAACTCATTAACAAAGAAAAATGATAAGCGTGTCGTGATTTTATATGTGATATAAAATCATGTTAATTTACATAAACTTTAGCTTTGATTTTCTCGGTTTAGACAAAGTTTATTTTAAAAATTACTTCGCCAATGAACTCGTATAAGATGAGTCGTTTTTTAAGCCATTTAAAGCACTTGTAGTCGTGTTTTATCACATATAAAACACTCCGCTACGCGTCGTGTTTTATATGTGATAAAAAACTCCTACGCGTGCTTTAAATAGTACATAGCTACGTTTTTAAATGCATTTGCCGGTCAGGAGAAACATAAAATAATAGCAAAAAATTGTCAGTTTTAAAATAAAATGATCAGTGACGCCCTATATTTAATTACAGCAATATGAGCAAAACGTACTGAATTTCAGACATAATCTTCTCCGTTGGCATACCTTTTAAATCGTTTTATTTAGCATTCGTTTACAGATAAAGGACGATAAGTATAAACATGCATACTTTTTAAGTTTGTTTGCCGATTGAGAAAAGTATCGAAAAATTTGAATGCAGTCATTTAAGGTTATACAGGACACCCTTTTTGGCGTTTTGCGGAAAATCGCTACTGCGCGCTCAATATCAGTCCGATTTGAATCAAATTTTCACCAAATGTTCGCCAGTGTATGCAAAATATGGTAAAGTTGTAAAATTAACAAACAATAAATAATATAAGAATTATTCAGGAAAATCTTAAATCGCGGTACCGTTACGCTTTTGAGTGGTGCTCCTGCTGGTTTTAAGATATATTTATGAAAATATCATTTTTATACAGTAAAATAGTTGTTCTAAAAAATTGTGTTCGGAATTTTTTGTTTATTTCGTCATTCCGCTGATATGGCGATTTCTTTGACGACTGCGATATATTTCTGAATTGTTTGAGTGAATTACTCTTTATTATTAAAATATCCAAAATTAAAAAAAAGCCGAACACAATTTCATTGAAACTGACGTCTTTAGCTATGTCCTGTGAAAATTTGAGAAAAATTGGTCAAAACCCGCAGGAGCACAACTCGTTTGAAAATCAGTAATTACCGTAAAATTCTTCGGGAGAAAATTGAATTTGAATATTACATTTTCAATGTTTTTCTTATTGCAGCGAAATGTATTTTATTAAATAACACTGCGAGTTTTCAACATTTTTCGTTCAAACTTGGTCAGATAGTAGAACTAGTCTAATGCTTTCATGGAAACCAATAAAAAAAATTTAGGCAAAATTAACACGCAAAGGTGTTCTGTAACCTTAACGGCATGCAAATCGTATATTAGTTTTGAGCGCCTCATATACGTACCGTAAAAAAATCTCACACAATACAAAATTAACAAAGACTACAAGTGCTATGTCATGTTGTATGCATACTTAAAAATAAGGAAATTAGAAAAGATTATGCAAAATTATAGCAGGATTACGCAAGCACAACTGCACTACAGCAACATCAAAATTTTAAAAAGACTAAACACTATAGTAATACAAGTCAGTATAATTTTGAGTTTCACTTGTAATAAAGGCCCCATCTCATGCGACATCCGCCTCCTCTGTTGTCGGTATCATCTCTGTAGTAAGGAGTCCAGTTGTTCGCTTTGGCACAAAGCTTGCGAGCAGCACCACCGCCACACTGTCCACCATCACCATCTGGATACCATTCGTAGCACAACTGGATATTCCTCGCCCACCAATTATGCACAGGTGGTAGTTTGAGCTGCCAAGACATTCTACACCCACCGCCGCGGTTATCGGTATCGTCCCGGTAGACCGGCGTGTATTTACCCACCGGGGCACACAGCAGGCGCGCTGCCCCACCGCCACACTGACCGCCGTTACCATCCGGGTACCATCGGTAGCATATTTGCACGTTCTTGAACCACTGTGGGCTGTAAGGTGATTGGATGGACCAGCTCATGCGACAACCGCCACCTCTGTTGTCTGTATCGTCTCGGTAATATCGAGTGGCTGCGTTGACGTTCGCGCAAAGATGTCTAGGTTCGCCCGCACCACACTGGCCTCCATCGCCGTCCGGGTACCACTGGTAACAGAGTTTGGTGTGGGCCAAGAACCAGACTGGTACCTTGTTTGCCTTACAGTCGTAGCCACCAGAACCACATGAATATATGGTTGACTTGCACGAGTGTTTACAACAGTCGCCTCCGTCGAATTTGTGTGCAGCTTTGTTGCAGGCGTGGTCACACCACCCGTCACCAATGCTCGAAGCAACACACGAAAATATTGCACGTTTTGTGCGCAAGTAAACTAAATAACGAAAGAAATATAACCGGTTATAAATACGAATGATTTCCGTAGCCGGTCGCTTACCAGGGACGGCTTGAAATAATAGCCGCGGTTATCGATCAATAATCGGCAAGAAATTGTTTATGACTGTAATTTTCCTCTTACACGTCCCTTGTGGAAATCAGCTTCGGTTGACAGGGTTAGCGTGGGTAAATAACGTTTTTCTATCTATCTATCTACTCCTCCGATCACCATGATCGGGAACTTTGAGAATCTGATTTCTGAATCCTAGTGGCTAGTTACCCAAGATGGCATGGCTCTCATTTATGTTTGCAAAAAGAAGTTTAAAAAGTTAGATTAGGGTTAGGAGTTAGGGTTGGAGTTGGGGTTAGGGTAGTGGTAGGATTGGGGTTAGGGGGTTAGAGTTAGGTGCCGCGAATTTATCATATTGATAAATTCAGACGTGTTTAACAGTTTACTCATATAGTAAATTCAAAGGTGGCCGGCTCATGCTGATAAAAACACCTATAGTATCTAATAAGGCAGATATTTGCATACCTAAAGGTCCTTCATTATCAGTTTCAGCACTTTATAGTAAAAAAGTAGGAACGAAAGCAATGTGAGGGCGTACAGTGATATATTAAATTAGATATCACTTTACTCTATAACTTTTCAATAGTCTATCCGGTTTCTTCCAACAAACCAAATTAGTTTGTAATGTAACTTAATTTCGCATAAATATGTCTTCAATGGACAACTTGCATGTTAGACTAAATTTTAATCTAAGTATTAAAAGAGAAGGGAATCAAACACAACAGTTAAAAAGAACATAATGAAATTAGTAAAATTGCAAAATTTGGTTGCGGAATGTTGTAAAATACAGAAAATATAGCCTTGCGAAGTTTGTATATTTTCACTGTAGGTCTATATTTGTATTACGTGCGGAAATTGTTACTATTTTCGGCTGCGCGTACAAGGGTTGGAGATGACACGAAGACACAATTCTTTTGAACAATGCATTAAGAAATTAAAAATCCTCTGTGGCAAGTCAAGTGAACTCATATAATCTTATTTTTGAACCAAATTGTACATTAAAAACAAATTAACACTGCATGAGCGACTGCAATTTCAAAACTTTCTAACAGTAAAATAAAACTATTGATTAAGTATAGATTTATAGGTAGTGTTCTTCCATTTTAACCGTGCAATGTGGTTTATCAGAAATTATTATTTGTATTAATATTAATACTAGCTTTTTGCACATGCATAAGGCGAGACCATAAAGACGAGACACTTTTTGTAAAAACAGGCCTGCTGTCAAGATAAATGGTCTAATATGCTTAATATAGCATGAACCTTTATATACAACACTGAAAACGACAACAACGGAATAAAATACTTACCTCTGGCTCTGAAGCAACAGCACCAGATAAAAGAGTGTAAGTAAGGGTCAGCGTTAACAACAAATATACACGCATGTTTGGAGAGATGTTGAAGCGACTACGAGCTCTTTGACTCTGAGCAGAAGTCAGGGTTAAATTGCCGTTTATACCTTCGCGTCGTAATGAATGTGCAAAACAAACAAAAAAACAAAGGATATCCTGTCAGGATGTACGTATGATGACGTAACTGACACAGTGGGATAAAGCGCGTCCTAATATCGTAACCTTGCATGCAAATGGTCATTTATATATACAGTATATTGTCAATTATTCTTTGCAACTTGTGTGAAATTCTCGTCTTAAAGCAAGCCCATGCAGTAGCGAAGTGTTTTTGGGAAGGCCAATGTTATCAAGACTTTGTAGACAAACCACAGACAATCCAGAGGATATCTACTGGATTGTTCGTGTAACGGCGCACGCATGACTACGTATTTGTATCTCACAACGATTGATTGGGTATTCGACCAATGCATTCGACTGAGGATATATACATGCCTCGAGATGCCTCGAAGATGATGAAAACTAGCTAGATTTCAGCACCGTCTCGGGCGTCCCAACTTGACCAACATTATGAACATTATTTTTTGTGACTAAATGCACCAGGGGAACTGGGGAAGCTAGTGGTAATTAGTACTTACAATGGCGGATGAGAGTTAATATAAAGAGGTAATTAAAACAGGAAAACGATGTCACACTGATTAGTTATTAGTTTCCCCTCGCCCTTCTGAAATCAGAATTCCCTTCAGAAATCTTAAACCTTGAGCGCACAAATTACATGAGTCAGATTGCTAACTTGGAGCCTAAATAGTGAACCAATAGCCCTACATCGATGCGTTCATTATATATGTTCTAGCATTGTTTTGGAAAGCAAATTTCCCGAGGAAGTTACCCATTATACCTTGCGCGCTCAATGTTTAAGGTTTAAGATTTTTGAAGGACAACCTATTTTGAATTGGCTGAAAATGTATACATATAGCCCTTTTACCTCAAGAGGTTGCCACACAGCTTGTTTCATCCATGCAAGAGGAATCGTAAAAATCTTCAAAAATCTTAAACCTTAAACATTGAGCGCGCAAGGGACGATGGGTAACTACTTATTTAGCGTCTTGAACTGTGTGAGATTTGTCATAATTTTCAGAGAGAGCGCACTTACACCGCGTCGCGCTTCATGGCGTTTCCGAGAGCATCACATCACATGCTTGAAACATCCACTTCAGCAAAATTTGACAAAACACAAAATGTGTTAGGATGCACATATCCAGTAGCTAGACGATATTGGGAATATGCGCGAGCTTCTATTGTATTCAATATGGGGAAAATATAATTTGCGACCCGCGAATTTTAGGGCGGGCGAAACGGAGGTCTGTTGTTATCATGTTCTCGTTTAATTCCTGATAGTTCACAGTGGTCTGCAAATGATATTGCACTAGTAGCCATATATTAATGGCCCGTGCGCTTTTATATTTATTGCATTTTGTTTCATAATTTCAATCGTGTAATCACACGAGAACCGAGAAAGTCGTATATTCCCCATGTAATTGCTTTTGACCGAGTACCAGACTCGTCCCTAGGCTCCAGTATCTGCGCGGGGTTTACGACGCGCAGCTCATTCTCATACCCAGAGCCCTTCTTACGCGCGGTGCGACGAGGAGCTCTGGCCAAATCCCCATAACCGGATACCATAAAAACATGGTAAGAAAACAATATCCGGTGTTAGAACTAGCCAATCAGATGCCAGTTCGGAATATGGATTTGGCCGGAGCCCCTCGTCGCACCACGCGTAAGAAGGGCTCTGTGTACGAGAATGCGCGCAGCTCTGAAAACACACATAAGGATCCCTCTCCTCCCGCCCACGTGTGAGTTTCTCGCGTGTTTCTCCCGCGCCGGGACGAGGCTGGCCGAGTGCTAGTTGTCGCGGCAAAGCTAGCTGAAAAATTACACACGCACGTACTGATTTAATTGTATAGTTTATAATAATTTATATATATTTAACTACAAGTATAGATTTTTAAAATTTCCACCTGAAAATATAATTTACACAGTCGCTTTTGGCTCCATCCAACAAAACCTATGACTATATAGGCCTATGTACAAACATTACCAAGATGAACACTATATATAGCCTGGATTTATGCCCCAAGTATTGAACTGCCTTGTCTGACAAAGATCGATCTTAAGTCCCTGTTTATGCCATTTCCCTTGAGCAATAGCTTGACAAACTTGGCACCAATGATGGAATTTTCTATCCCAATATTTTCCAATAATTGTTTCACTTATATCCCCCAGACCTTTTCGCTTCCATTCTAAATGCTTATTATATTCCGTTTCGTTACTCATCAAAAACTTTAGACGCTCGGCTAGTTCTCGGGGATTTTTGAAATCTCTTACGTTAATGATAGCGTTTTTAAGATTTCCTGGTAAAAACTCATAAATCTTGTCTGTACTCATGACGATTGGCACAGAGCCGGCGTTCAGCGCATGTAGAATTTGATCATCGACAAAATAGTCACAATCTTGATTGAAAAATGTTATAGCAAATTTGTATGTCTTTTGTAACTTCGATTTCATATTTTTAAAATCGGATTTATAACGCTGGACGAGTCCTGCCCTATTGTGCAAACATGCACCGTAAGAATCTACCGGGATATATCTCATTAATTGTCTGAGGTACTCGGGTCCTCACTGGTTCGCAGTTACTAAATGCGGCCATAATCCTACCGGTTTTGTTTTTAAATGGTACAGGAGGATCCAAATTTGGTTTCTTGAACAGAGGAGTAGGGAAGTCGGAATCTAATCTGTAACTTCGTAGTAAATGAACTTGAGACATGTACTCCGGTTTTTTTAAAACAGGAGTATAAACGGGGTTCTCTAAAGTGGTTAGGATCCAAGGGATGTCTCTGTTTGGCGGTAAAGGATACGGATCCCGAGCGTGGACGATGAATGCGTGAGCTTGTTTGATTCGATCACGATTAGATGTCACCTCGCACGAAACTGGACACTGATCTTTGCCAATGCCTTTTTCAAGAAATCCTTCGCTTTTTTTCGCCGGGAAACCCCATAACTTGGACCAGAATAGGAGGAGGACTTTTTCGTCTGCCGCATAGGGTACACGGGTTAGGTTTGGTGAGGTGTCGGAGAAGAAAAGACTGAGAAGCAACAGTGTAATGCCGATGATGGTTGAAAAAGCGACGAACAAGAAAATTGGTAGCGGTAGTTTTTTTGCGTGTTGTTTCACCAGCATTTTGTTGTAATGGACCATATACATTGGATGTGGTACTTGAAGCTGGGGAATACGATCTGTCAATTGTCAGCAAAGAAAATCAAGTATACATTATATGAACACAATATAACTTAGGGGTTGTTATATATCAGTCCCGCTTTGCCAGGACGAGATGTGAGGCGGGACGATTTCGATATATTGAAATAAGTCATGCTGCCGCACAATTCAGCAAAAAACTTCATTATTTTCTAGAGATAGATTATACCAGTTAACTGTAAACGAAAGGTTGTTTGAGCAGCAATAATAATCTTCTTGAACTACAAGATCTCTACAATATTTGAGTTCTGTTAACCCAACTTAACCAGCATTTGAACTTTCGTTTCGCCTAGTGACTTGTTTCAATACATCAAAATCATCCCACATTCCATCATATAAACAGCGCTTAACCCTTTAAGTGGCAATGCGTCCTGCCTTATTATTTTACTCTGTCTAACGCCAGATGATTTTTTCTTCAAGGGAAGAGTGCTTCCACCGGAAGTCACAACCTCAATATCAATATCAATGGTCAGATACTCAGATCTGACAGGACTATTTTCTTCCCGCGAAAGCCCGTTCGATAATAGAAACAAAAAAATGGCAATACATAATAGCCACCGAATTTATATTATTTAAACAACGCAGGCAATCTGGGGCAATATAATAAGTTTTTAAAATATTTCGATAGTTTTAAAGTATATGATTTGAATTACGATATAATAATCATTTTATTTGTAAATGTCTAATCTTGTTTCATGCATGAACTATGAGTTGATGTTTTGGAATTGTTCTGCAACAGCCAACAGGTCACGAACATAACTGGCTCACTGCATCAGCTGTTTTTCTGTTTGTGTTTTCCTATATAGTATAATAGCGTTCCTTATATTAAAATGAAAAAAGTTAATTAAATTGACTTTACCTTTAAATACGTTTTCTCACTTTTTCGTCGTGTTGTTCATCAATGTATTTCAGATAGCAAAATTGGCAATTGAAAGTTCAATTAAAACAAAGAAATAAACAGGTAAATGTTTCACAAGTCAGAAATGAATGGTTGTTAAAGCGATAATATATTGTGGTGGTCGTAAACAAATTTAACAAACGGCGCGTTTTACATTCATAGGGAGACGTGCATGTTAATTCGCCATATCCAGTTTTTTTCGCGGTTCGTCCTTGTGGGCAAGTCTACGTCACAATAGACGATTCCCATTATAGACTAATTTTAAAACTAGGCAAGGACATGCAGATAAATAACCACAGCTAGAACGAGCATTCTAAAATTAGTAAAATTACAAAGTTTGGTTTCAAAATGCAGAAAAATATAGCCTTGCAAAGTTCGCAAATTTTGTATACTTTTGTATTGCGTGCGGAAATTGCTACCACACTAATTTGGGCCAAATTAAAATGGTAGCAATTTCCGCATGCAATAAAAAAAGTATACAAAATTTGCATGCCAGCTTTTTAGGGGCAAGTATAATTTGTTCGTTTGTACGATTGCAAAAGAAAACTTGTGTAGACTGAATACTTCTATGGGGGGCCTATTATAGGGGGGAATTCTTTCCGCAAACCGCGCAATTTTTTTCTCTTGTCCCGTCAACCGCCCGTCATTTTGTTCTATAACGGTGACCGCCATTTTTTCCACACAAAGCAATAAGGGAGCATTCATTTTTTAGCTGGGGTGGTGGTCCGGAGGAACTGATGTCTAATTCCATGCTAAAACTTGGAACCCCCAAGAGAAAAGTTGATAAAAAATTATGACCCCTATTTTTTTTACTGAAACACTTTTTGACCCCTCATCCTTGTCACTCCTGGTTGCCAAATACAAGAGTCACAGGGGGTTGAATGGTTGAAATGGGTACAAATGAATATTCGAACTCAACAAATAGCAAATCGATGTACAATGGTTAACAAATTTAATATTCAACAAATGAATGGCCTTTGTACAAGTCACGCAACGTATTGTAGCCAAGTAGAAATTCAATACGGGTAGCAAATTGTAGAATAAACACGATGTGGCACTTGTAGGTAAGGCGCAGTCGTAGATTTGTAGGATAAATTGTAGATAAGTTGTAGCACAAATTGTAGCATGAATAGATTGTAGCATAGATTGTAGCATAGATAGATTGTAGCATAGATTGTAGGTTCGAACTGAAACATGACAATAAAATAAACTACTTAACTATGTTACTTAATGCATGCGAAAACTAACACACAAATGTCATTGACTAACAAAACTAACAAGCACATACAATACTGTAAAACTTACGTACTTTGGCTTACACTTGTACCAAACGAGTAGCGATGAATTCAATGCGATTAGCAGTTCTTCGTACAAATACGTAGAAATATCCCTTTTTTAAATAGCCTTTAGCAATTACACGTCCTTACTCTGACGCAGTCACAACTTTACTAACTCACGCTATCTAGTCTATTAGGAACATATGGTATAGCTGTTTCCGTCCTGGTATCAATCAAATTAACTATATTATTAACTAAAACTATTTGAACTATTTATGAAGGACAATGAACTAATTTTAAGTAAGCGTTTCAAACCAACAATCCTAACTATTAATAATCCACACGGTGTCGTTTCCGTAGCGTTTCAGGGCCGTAGGAAGCTCTTTTTAATAGGGGGCTGAACGCGAGGGCCGAAGGCCGGGGAAATTTTTAAATCTAGAGTCTCTGAAATGCCATTTCCTGGACTTTGGGGGAAGATTTGACAGAATTCTGATGGTCAGAAAACAGCGTTTTAGTATGTCGAAATTGACAATTTGGTAGTACTAAATGGGCGCGCGAACGCGTATTTAATTAACTATATATTGGATAACTAGGATAAGTTGCAGGAAACTGTGGGTACTATCTTCATTCTTTGCAGTTTGTCATGGATAATGTAGCCTGCGTGGCAGGCCCTCAAATTTATGGGGGGGGGGGCCTGATTTGCAGCGGGCAGGATTTTGGCGGGCTCCGGGGGAGGATTTAATGTAGCCGCTTAAAATTAATAAAGCTTAAAATTGATAAAGTTCATGATGAAATGCATGCAGACCTTGAAACCATGCATGATTTTGAAATCATGCTACGGTCCTGCGTTTTCTTTCATTCATGTTTTCACACAAAAACGGATAAAAACGAGGTCAATTGACAAACGTCATGGAAATGTTTTCCTATGGACTGTGTGAACAGAGCGTCAAATGAATTTTGCTTCTTTGTTAAAGATGACGAGATAGTTTCTAGACCTTTTTACCATTCTTCATCCAAATATTTCCAAATTCTATAAAATTATATTGGTGACTTTTTCACCGATTATTTTTATAACCCCCTCCATTTATACCAAAACTATAAAAAGACCCACCCCTTTGAAGCAAATCAAAATTGGCTGACCCACCCCCAAATTCCTCTAGCCCCCCCCCCAGCTAAAAAATGAATGCTCCCTAAAGACCATCCATTTTCTGGACGAAGCATAATTCAAGCATTCAAAAATGCCATGAAGGACGGATAGCTTATGAGCCCTTATGAAAGGGTACTGAATTATATCTCTAACCGTAATCCGCCATTAAACTTGCCTAACAACCGAAAACCGTGCGATAATTTTTAAAGTCGCGAAATTCCGCCACCGCTAGATAGTATCCTCACCATAAACCGCTACAAAAATCGATACTTTTCCGTAATCCGACTCACAAAATAGGCTGAAACCGCTTAACCGCCAAACTATAATAGGCCTCCCCTATGGTTTTGGCAACCAAAAGGTGGCCTTGACGCGAGATAAATGTTCAACTAACAAAAATCCGCGCACAACAATACTTGTTTCAAACATTAAAGTTTCACGTTATAAAAATGACAATGTTTTTATCTGCGATTGTTCGTTCGTGGACGCAAACGACGGTAAATACTAAAAAAATGACGATCCCAAGATAAAGTACTGAGAAGTCAGGATTAGCAAACCGCTAGCCTAAGGCGGATTCTCCGCCCGCGCACTTTTGAAATTTTATAAAATGTCAAAATACAGCGCACGTGTGCTTTCCTGTTGCAATTTTTTCAAATATTTGATGAAAATTGAACCGAAATACAAGACTACGAGAAATATTTGTGTTTTTTCAACGTTTATGGGACACTGCAGTTTCTGGTTGTAACTGGTTTGGCAGATATCGTGAGTTTTTCGCCTTGTGGCCCTTGTCGAATGTTGATGTATTTCAGCACTGGATCGTTTAAGATAGGTAGGTGTTTTACTATAAAGTATCGCTTTCTAAATATTCAATTCACCATCAAACTGAACAAGTAGTTTTAGTACGATCAACTTTGCCGAGGTTGTCTTATGTACAACAAATTTTCTATAACAAATCTTGACACTCTTTGTCTTTCTTGGCGCCGGACAGCTATCAACGACAATACCGTAAACTTCCGAACAGGGACGCCGGAACGATGTGAAGGCAAGGGGGGCAGATTTTCGTGAAAGGGCACTTTTGAATTGATATATACTAAGAGATGTTTGCAAAACTTCGGGCAGTTGAATTTCGCCTAATCATGTTTTCTATTTATTGGATGATAGGGGTGTGAGGGGGTTCTCCGCCAGGCGATTGTGCTATTCTTGAAGCTCGATGACTGCATTTCTTGCGTTTTCTGAAGCAAATTCGTAAAAGAATTGCACTAACATTTCTGACAATTCGCTATTTCGCCAAGGCAATCCTTTAAATTGAAAGGGCACCTTGGCCCCCCTTGCCCCTCCTGGTAAAGGGCAAGGGGGGCGGCTGTCCCTCCTGCCCCCCCAGTTCCGGCGTCCCTGCTTCCGAATATAAGCCCTGGGCTTATATAATTTCATAAGCCTTTTTTGATGGGCTTATACATGGGGGGGGGGGCTTATATACGGGGGGCTTCTTCTTCTAGTAAGAAAACACATACTATATTTACGGACCGAAACTGCACAAAAATATGTCCGTGACTCCTTGAGGCAAAATCGGGACGAACTGTCAAGTGTTTTGTAACCTTTATAACCTTTGTTTAAATAAATACATACCGTAGACGTAGTCTTAGTTGAAATTTAATGCAATGTAGTGGATTTTTTTGTGTAATTTACCGGTATTATAGTGTGATGGGCTTATATACGGGTGGGCTTATGTAGGGGTGGGCTTATATTCGGGGGGGGGCTTATATACGGAATGGTGTGAACGTTAGTAATTTGATGGGCTTATAGACGGGGGGGGGGCTTATATTCGGGGGGGGGCTTATATTCGGAAGTTTACAGTAGATCGCTATTAAACCAACTGTGTCCAAGTACTCAAATTGCTTTGTCAAATTTTCCTTGCCAATTTTTTCAAAGACAAGCACACTTGTTCAAAAGCTAGCATGTTACACTACCTTTTCAACAAATGTATACTTGGAATAAAACTTGTCATATGTAACTCACTCATCTGTTACCAGCTTCATACTTTTGTTTCAGAGTATGAAATAAAAGTATGAAAAAATCCTCAAAGTGAAAAACTAATTTCATGTGGGGGGCATTATAAACAGCACGTCATATGAATATATAACTGTGCTGTTCTTGCATATTTTGCCGAATATGTTTGATGTGTATTTGAATATTATTTTAACTGACAGTTTGTTAGAATTTATATGTGGACTGTTTTAATAATTAAAATACTTTCTCATACAACAAGCAAACATTGACTTTCAAAGAAATTGCCTTTTACCACTTTTTCAAAGTTTTCTTACCAATGTAATCGTAACCCAATTGTAACATGTGGTCATTCTGGCAAAACCCAAGGCTCATGTACATTTTGCTGTTCTTCACTTCCGAATGGAAATTTCTACTATATATATAGCTTTTTATAAATGATTGTACCGATGATAATCAGGGCCAAAATAATTTAAAGGTTTGTAACGGTTTGTCAAAATAATTTGCCAATTTATATATTAATCACCCACAAATGAACTCGGCAGCCACTAAATGTATTTTTATCTTTTATCAAAGATAAGAGTTTAAAGTCAGAGGTTAAAGTTTGAGAAAAACTACAGTACAGGCCCTGAATTAAAAATTTGTCCCGGGCCCCCGAATTTCTCTGTGCGTTCCTGAGTGCTAGCTATGTATCGTTATACACTTCTCAAAATTCTAACAATAACTGCTTTTAAAACTACATGAAATTTATGAATATGCAACTAGTGCTAGCTATATATTGTACACGTCTCAAAATTTTAACGGTAACTGCTTTAAAACTACATGAAATTTATGAAATATACAAATGTCAAATGCTATATATATATATTGTTAGGCTACTTAAGCCGGTTACAGACAAGCAAGTTTTCTATGACAAGTTTTTATGTGACAAGTTTTATTTGCTCGTCTGTACGCGCAACTTTGACAAGTTTTATTTGCTCGTTTGTACGCGCAACTTTGACAAGTTTTTCTATGACAAGTGCACTTGTTCAAAAGCTAGCATGCTAGCTAGAAAAAATTGTCAAAGTACAAATTTTGTTCGTCTGTATGGGTCATTACAAAGAAAACTTGTCAAAGTAATCTGAGCATTTGATGTGATTGGCCAGCTGGCCACTAATAAATTGTCAAAGTAAACTTGTTGACACGTTCACGCCAGTAAATAAAACTTGTCATATGAAAACTTGTGATATGAAAACTTGTCATATAAAAATTTTTGCATATATACACATGCACTTGGCAAATAAAACTTGTCACATAAAAACTTATCATAGAAAACTTGCTCGTCTGTAACCAGCTTTAATTGTACTACCTGCAGTTCAACGTCTGTCACTCTTGCCCTAATGTACAAATGATATATATATATATATATATATATATATATATATATATATATATATATATATATATATATATATATATATATATATATATATATATATATTATACAAATAATGAATGTTTATGAGTGCAATGGTAAGAATATTTTCATGAGGTGAAAGATGGAATGTTCCATTCAACGAGGCGACAGCCGAGTTGAATGGAACATTCCATCTTTCACCGAATGAAAATATTCTTACCAATGCACGAAAAAACATTCATTATTTGTTTTATATAATACCAAAATAGACTAATATTTTCGTATGAGAAGCATTTTGAGGGATGCGATTTATCAAAAACACAAAGAGTGCAATTGTACTATACGTTTTATACCATTGCACTCGCAGAGAGTGCAATGGAACGTGTTCCATTGCACTCTTGGGAAATGGAATGTTCTATTCAATATCACGTGACCATAAACAGCCAATTAAACGATCAGAATTCAATAAGGTATTATATAAATTGAAATATATAACTGTTGAGTGTTGACATTGTTTTTTAGTCTTCAATATTTGAGTGAGTCATCATGCTTTCCCAAATCTTGAGTTTTGTTTTTCATTGATACAACCTTTCATCATTTTGTTTACTAAACCCTTTTGTGTCTTTTGCCTTCATTGAAATTTCCTTAGAATAAAATATGTGTCATTAGATGAAATACGGACAGAACTATCCAACCTTCATCAGTTTGAAATATTTTTGTTGAAGTTTTTACATGAAAAAAGATCACTTTTTTGCTCACCGTGTTTTGAAAATGTATTATTCCCGCGGCTCAGCATCAAATTTAGTTTCAGCCAATCACAGGACTTCGCCAATAGAGTGAGCTCAGTGAGCGTTCCAGTGAATTGATCTGATTTCAAAATGTCCGCTTTTATTCGCATATCCATACTTGCAGCCGAGCTTTTTTGAGTCATTTGACAGTTGTAATTATGACTTATTATGAACTAAACACCACAATTTATTAAAGGCGTTCTAAAACACTAAAAACACGAATAAAATATGAGCCAAATGGAACGAATCAACTGATCTTCGTATATTTATTTAACGTCAAAACACGTGGTGCACAATATTCAGGTTACATCATGGCGGACAAGGTGAAAGAATTTGCCGGGCGAATGGGCAACGCTCCGCGAGGAGTTTCGTTGGGATTTAAATTGCTGGCTGGTGCCGCTGCTTTAGGTTATGCTGTAAGGGAATCTCTGTACACTGGTGAGCAATTTTACTGAGAAAAAAGTGTAGAATTAGGAGAAATTTAATGACAAAATATTTCATCATTTATAGTTTCATCTGTTGTGTAATTATTATACATCAAATATAACAATTTCTGGTAGAATCAGAAGATCGATCGGTCGTTAGGACTGAAATCTGATCCCAAAAAATCTAAAACGATCGAAAATATCAAGTAATAATAACCATTTGATCATTAATTGTTAAATCCATTTGCTATAAATTGCCATGCATTTTATTAAATCACATAGTTAATTTCAGCCTTTTCTTATACAGTGAGGCTGTAAATGATTAGAATCTAATTTTGAGAAGATCAGATCGAAACAATCGAATATACAAATCCACCAAGTCCTTGTATTTGGTGGGAGACGCCCACATTTTGGAAACATTTGGGGTGAATAGGGATATACAAATCTGCCCAAATTTGAAGCAAAATCCACGATCCGACAATGGTCTTATCTAAATTTGAATCTGCTGAAAGCTCTACTATGAAGTCACAATCTAGGATCTGAACTAAATTGCAAGCTGAATCCACAATCGGAGCCAAAATATTAGATAAATCCGCAAGTAAGATCCGCAAATCCGTGTAAAATATCAACCTCGTTCCCAGGGTCTTTAGGAAAGACCCTGGTATCGGCTGGTCACGTGCCTCGTCCAAAATTGATTGCCCGAGGGGGGTGTGGTGAAAGTATCAAATTACAAACAGTTAAAAACATAAATTTTGCGAACTATTACCAGTGAGTTCAAAATACTTGCTAATTTTTGTTTATTTTATTTGCATTGAATTTACTAGAACATTCTTACATTTTTACCAACAATCAAGTCAAGAAACCAAGCAAATCGTTACTCGCAGTGCTCTCTCGTGTTGTTTTATTCAATGCTCTCTTCACACTCGAGCGCGGTTTTATAACAAACGTTTATGGGCCTTTCAGTGGTCACCATTTCTACATATCTAATGTTTTTAAAACAAGCATTAGATTTGTCCTTTTTTGTAAACGTTGCTATGCTTTGCACGTCTTGTTTATAAGAGAAATTAAAGAAACAGTATTGTATTGTATTGTATTGTATTGTCTAGGACTAGAGAGAGCCCAATATCAGCAAATGTAAACATTTGATACTAGCCAAACAGAGAAATGTCTGTCAGTGATTTATCTTTAAAATTTTGGATTTAGTACATAATTCGTATTCATTAATTATAGTAAGGCTTTAGCCTTTTCCTTGGTCAGATAATGTTTTCCTAATATGCACACAACTAGGCTATAATCTACATCACAAATTTACAGTGTCAGACGCGCACAGACTGCCATACGAATACACATAAATTTTCGAGTTTTCTACTTCTACTAAGGCTACTAACAGTTTTCATTGTGTCTCAATCATCTGTTTATTTCTAGTTCAATAAGTTCATTTATATTTCTATATTTATTTGATAGTGGCATATATAGTGATACATGTAGGCTATTTACACACAAGCAATCCTGGATATGATAGAGACGATACAAGCTGTCCATTAAAAAATAACGGTATTCTATTTCACAAAGCAAAAAATTTAAATCTCACTTGTATTATTAAGAATATATATAAAGCAGAAAATTAAAGCTTGTGTCAAAACGAAAGCTGTTTATAAAATTTATAAAATTTGTTTATAAAATTTGTTTTATAAATGTGGTATAAACACAGTAGTAAACAGTAAGACAAATATATTGTCGTTTGACTTATCTTTGATGTATGACTTTACTGTAATATTGTAGATTTTCAACAGACAGCTATAGACTTTGACATATACCATGATTGTTGAGATCTTGCAGGAAATTTTATAGTCTTTTGACGGGATTTAAGTTTTGTGATAAGGCCTTTTAATATAATCAACAATCTCGATACAGTTGGCGTCTTGGCGATATTTCGGAAATCAAAAGATCTCGCTATTTCGTTCCAATTCCACATCTCATCAATAAATATATTCTTTTGGTCCAAGTATCAGGATATACTTTAATACTAACAGTTAAATAAATATAAACCACATTGGTCAGTCTAGAGATATGAATTTTCTTGTAGGCTTAATATTGCCACGCCGCCCAGGCGTGCTTTCTTTGTAAGTTGAAATCTGATCCAACTTGCTTGAATTGTAACTCGACACTAGATTATAGAGCAGAAAGTCACATCACGATAAATATTAATTTTTAATTGCAGTTCTCTTCACGATTTCTTGTTGCAAATTTAAATTTCATCACACAGAATTGCAAATATTGTTACAAACGCGACAAACACGCTCCTCTCCCACCCTGCCCATAGTATCATTTTAATTTATCACCCAGAATCTGGGTGACACGTGACCAGCCGAAACCAGGGTCTTTCCTTCGCCACGCGCCGTTCTAAGAAAGACCCTGGGAACGAGGTTGGTAAAATATTCGCCAGATCTGAAATCCGAACAATTTTTTCTGTGAAATCCAACGATCCGAAAACCTATTCACCCCTTTTATAACCCATCACCCTAACATATGAAATTGTCTGGTGTTAGACAGAGTAAAATAATAAAGTAGGATGCATTGGGGTGCAATGCAACTTAATGGGTTACCTAGACACGTGCTATACATGGGCTGGTGATGGTCAGATAGTCTGGTTAACTCGTTCTCCCCCCATGGTGAAAAGTTGGGATGTTGTGCCGAACTACATTCGTGTTTTTTTTTATCAGAATGATTGACGGATTGAAATATTAAATAAAATACATCTAGTGTATCTGATCCAACTAGCACACAGTTTTTCTCGTTCAATTGATAAAGACATCAAGCCATTTGTAATATTTTAGTGGAAGGCGGTCAGCGAGCAATTATATTCAGTCGTATTGGTGGTATTCAGAATGATATTTATTCAGAAGGACTTCATGTTAGGTAATGTTTTTTGTAAGGACATAGTTTGTAATTTTTCAAATTTTTTTCAAATTACTTTTATTCTCCGTTAAATTAAGAACATTTCATCCTCTTGTATTATAGGATACCATGGTTTCAGTACCCAATCATATACGACATAAGATCACGACCAAGAAGGATTACCTCACTGACAGGAAGCAAAGGTACATATTTCTTAATGTCTTACTAAAGAATTAAGATATGTGAAAATGTGTGACTTTTAATTAAAATATAAATGCCCATTTTCACCATGCATCCACGTCTGCAGGATCAGAATGTGAATATATGACTTTCAAGTCAAATGCTGATCTGACTAAAGTTGAAATATCTAATTATGTATTAAATTCAGACCACAGAGAACTTCAGTAAATCACACAAACCTGGTAATCTGCTACTAATTGCATTTTTGATGTTTCTGTTGATTTGTATCTGGTGATGAAATGATGATGTAATTTGCGCCTGATAAGCAAGTATGGTGAATGGTATGCCTGCCGTTCTTTTGGCCAGCTTGTCTTGGTGATGACATTTACACTACTGATCTCCCAGAGTACAAACACTGGAATTAACAGATTCCAATTTCAAATAAAATTGTCAAATAATATTTAGGGTACATACTATATCCTTGCAACACTTAATTATCTGCTACCCAATTTTTCTTGAGCGAAGTTTTGAAGTTGAACAATCTTTTATGCAGTATATAAAAGTTACATTTTTGGCTGATCTAAATTGTGAAATCGCTGGCTAAACGTAATTGTGAAAATGGTGAATTTTTTACTGTAGCTAAAACCATGTATGCACTGTATGTGTATATATGTTATGAAATTGCAAGGACTGATGTTGGGTTTCTGTGGTGTTGGGTTTTGTAAAATATGTATTAATTAAAAATTCCTTATTTTTCAATGTTGTGTTTAGATTTGCAAATGGTTAATATTGGATTGCGGGTGTTAGCAAGACCCATTTCAAGCAGTCTTCCAAAAATGTACCAAAAACTTGGACTGGACTACGATGAACGAGTTCTACCCTCAATCATGAATGAGGTAAAAATTAGTTAAAAAAACAAAGCAAGCATATATGAGATGTTGCAATAGTTGTTAAATGTTGAAAAATGTGAAGTACTGATCCTATGTTTGATTTTTTATTCAGGTTTTAAAAAGCGTGGTTGCCCAGTTCAATGCATCACAACTTATTACAATGAGACAGGAGGTAAACTTATCAATTATAATTCAAATCTAACCCGATGTTATGTCTGTTTGGACTGAAATACCTGTGCAGAATCTTGCCACACTGTGGGTTGGTTTGAAATCAAGGTGAACTGCCATCGCAGTGTAAATATAGTAAAAATTGAACATGATTTTAGTTACGATAGCCTTTGCTATGCCTCTGCGAGAGTATAATAATAACAGAACAATGTACTGTATCTTCAAAATGAAATGATGATGTAATTTACACCTGACAAGCAAGCCTGGTGAATGGTATGCCTGCCGTTCTTTTGTCCAGCTTGTCTTGCTGACGACAGTTACCCTACTGATCTTTAACTAGTAAAGAATAAAATGGGATAAATTGGTTTTTATGTCTACATTAGCAAGGGAACCATCTTTCTAAAATTATATACCTGGTCCTCTTTTTCTTCCAGGTCAGTTTGTTGATCCGACGAGAGCTCACAGAGAGAGCCAAGGACTTCAATATTATCTTGGATGATGTTTCCATTGTATGTACCTTATATTTTTCCTAACATCTTTATTTGACTCTCTTAATTGGTTATTCTTTTGTCGACTGAGGAAGTGATGATGTAATTTGCGCCTGATAAACAAGCATGGTGAACGGTATGCCTGCTGTTCTTTTGACCAGCTTGTCTTGGTGATGACATTTTCACTACTGATCCTCTTTTTGCCATAATTATAAGACAATTTGGTGCTGAATTATATTGAGTACTGGGCAATGAAAAATTATCCTGATTGTTTTGACCTGACTTACTGTAAGTATCCTTGAGTATCCTTAAATCTTTGGACTTTTTTAGACTGATTTGAGCTTTGGCAAGGAATATGCTGCAGCCGTTGAAGCCAAACAAGTTGGTAAGAAAACAGTTACGATAGTCTTATTTAGGCATGCCACAAATCCGCCAAAGTTAGCAAAACGTCTCCGAAGAAGGACTAAATGCAATGTATTATTTACTAAAGCTCAACAGGAGGCACAAAGGGCAGCATTTTTAGTAGAAAGAGCTGCACAAGAACGACAACAGAAAATTGTTCAAGCTGAAGGAGAAGCCAAAGCTGCTAAACTTGTATCCTTTTACATTTTTCAAGTTTCCATAGAAAGTTTGCAATGTCTGTTCTTACAATGAGTTTTTGGTGGGAATTTATAAATTCTGGTTTTAATATGCTCTTTTTATGTTCATGTTCAAAATTTCCTTGACATGAAGCAAAGCTCGGAGATGCTTTGCAAGACAATCCTGGCTATCTAAAACTACGAAAAATTACAGCAGCCAGAAAGATTGCCAACGTTGTATGTACTTTAATTCAGTATTTCGCTTATTGTTATGTAGGACTGCTTTTTACTTTGTTTTATTCATCACAGGTTGCTAATTCAAGAAACAAAGTGTACCTGGATGCCAACAACCTGTTATTGAATCTTAGGGATGATGCTACTGATAAGTATGTTATATTTATGTTAGTTATCCAATACATCCTTCAAGAGAGTACAGTACATCAGAGTAACTTACAATATGTTTTTTTAGGAATATTGCGGTTGATATTTAACAAAATTATGCAGACAAGAAGATATCAATTTTATTGCATCACAGGTGGTGAGATTGTACATTCAAGATCCGATCACAAGAACCAGACACCACTGTAAGTACTGTAGTTTGCCTGGTTCCAGACTTGAACTTTTATTGAAGAAAAATAGTGATCAATGTATCTTCTGATAAAGATTTGATATTGATTTGAATTTGCCAGAATAAATGTGTTATATCTAGTGTTGATGGTTGTATACAGTTGCAATGTATGCAGTTGGTTTATTATTATTTTATTTCATAAAAAGAAGTAAATTGTTTTTACAAGCATTAATTTATCTCAGTAAAAATAAATATTTCATATGTATAAATTAAGGTATATTCCACAGTTAAAATATAATATCCCTCTTTCGACTCTCAAGCTGATTCCTGAATTCAACACCATCTGAATTCCATGGTAATGGAAAATTCAAACACAAACTTCTAGAATTCTTGTAGAAAAATTCTACTGGTGATTATGACTAGTCGTATACAGTGGCATAGCAACTGGTCATGATATAAGAATATTAAAATTTTAAAATTTCTTCCACAGTTCAAACCATGTGGATGTGTCATGAAAATATCTACACTATTTTGAACTCTGTTGTCATTTACTGTAATTGGGTCTGTATTTATACTATAGCGGTTACCGAATTATGAGCGAATAATACAGTGGAATTTTGCAACCTTTATGTGTGTAATGAATTTAACGAAAAGTGCATCTTTTCTTGCAAATTATCACGTACCGTAAGAACAAAGAAAACTAAATGTTATCGCTGTATTTGCTCATAATTCGTGAACCACCACAGAATTTACAGAAATGACAACTAACTACAGAAGCAGAAATGGAAAAGTTCTTCCACTTTGACTGTAGGATAGATAGATAATCAGTTGCTATTGCAGCAGGAGGAAGCATGTGGCATGAATACAGGGCAGTGGCAAAGCTGGCCATGGCAACTGGTCATGCTCATAGATATCTTATATACACTAGATAGTGCAGCTAATTATTCTGCGATTCAAAAATTGAAGCCCAACCTCGTTCCCAGGGTCACTCCTTCTGTTATCCCAAAGAAAGATCCTGGGTACGAGGTTGATTGAAGCCGTGATTGCAGACTCCGGATATTCCCATGAAGTGGGAAGACTCGTATGTTTTCTATTTCTTAAACAGGGAACTTAAACATTAAGTTAGACCTTTCCAAATACATTTTCAAACTATTCAAGGAAGTTATTGTTGTTTTTTAAGCGTTTATTAGCGAGTGGGAAACTTCAACATGGCCACCATTTTTTCAAATGGGGGTAACCGCTGGAATATTCTTGGCTTCAATTTTACTAAAAGGGATGCACTATCTAGTGTATATAAGATATCTATGGTCATGCTATGCTAATAAACCTGCACCTAAATGTAACGATACATTTGTAAAGGTTTGAATAATGCAAATCATTAAAGATTCGCATAGCATGACCTGTTGCTATGCGCTACTGTAGCTTCACTGCTGATGCAGTGGTTAGGTGGACACACAGGTGTTAGTTAACTTCGGTTTGGCAAGCGCTTGTGTTGTGCATGGGGTCAGAGGACCCTGGGGATATCTGGGTGCACTCAGTAGTCCAAGCTAGGGGCTAGAGGGGGCGTTACAGGAGGTATAGAATTCTTCACAATTTTGCCAATAGTTTCCACTTGAAAACCAATCTCAACAAGACAATCATGGTCCAGTATCATCCTTCCATCAAATGCAAATGCTGGTTTCAGCATATTGGCGTATATACGTCTGTAATCCAGCGTCTGAAAGAGACGAGCGGAATACAATTTTATGTAGAACTTATTACTAAATTAATGGCTGACTATATCTTTGCAATATTTGCATATGGCAACTGGGAATTAATTCAGTAACTAGTATTTTTATAGTAAATCTGCTTTGTCTGTATTAAGTGACCATGAATTTCCACCATAGATTTACTACTTTTCTTGTACTTTTTTTTCATGTTAAAAAGCTTTTTGCATGCTATTTAAGTTATTTTATATTCACCTATTTGCCCAAATATATTACAATTACCGATAAATAACATCAGAAGAACTTGTCACGTAGTAAAAATGATAGGGTAAACATCTTACCTTAAATTCATCCCACTCTGTACAGACCACTAGTGCATGAGCATTTTCTACAGCTGTGTATGCGTCTTTTTCTACTTTTACCAGCTTCTTGACTGGAAAAATAAAAACAATTACACATTAGAGATTTTTGCAAGAGGCAACTAGTTTTTGGAACGCCAAAACCAGTGAAAACTACAAGTTACCTTTTTCAGGGTCTACAGCTATACTTGGATGACATAGTTCACTGAAGGTAAAAATAAAAGCATTAATTAGGCGATATTGTTAAGTGTGTGCATACGGCTCCTAAAATGCAGCCATGCAGGTAATGGATTTTGTAGTGAGTTTATTACTATAGTCTATACTTACAGATAAACTTGTTCTTCTTCAACTTTAGGATCATAAATGGTAACTCTAGCTCCCTCTTCCAAGAGGTATTTACAAATATAAATACTTGCAGACTCCCTAAAATGTAGATAAAACATATTCAACGTTTCGCCTCAGCGAATATTTGGCATTCCAAGCACCGAACATTTTCTTTGCCTTTTGGTACTCTAGTTTCCTTCCGTAGTAAGACATGACCAAAAAGGGATACATCCCCTAGACCTATATTCTATAAGCTGGGATCTGGGAATCCTAAGAAATCCTACAAATACGTTATTGGAGGATCTTAAAGGAATCGTTATATCATACTTCCTTATCTGTCATTTGAGACATATAACAAACACAGTCAAAATATACGTTGTCGTTGTATGCATACAGTAATGCCATTGTTTTTGTGCACGTTTGAGGAACATTTGAAAAAGACAAATTCAGATAGGAGGAACCTTAAACACTTCTTCTCTCCAGGTCTGCCCAGCATAAAATAAACTTGACATATTTTTTTAATGTACCCTCACCTTGTATCACCGGTATTCTTCTTAAAAGCAAAGCCTAGTATCCCAATCTTCTTATCAGTAACCGTATTGAACAAAGCATTAATGATTTTGTTTGCAAAACGTCGTCGTTGGTATTCATTCATTTTAATAACTTGATGCCAGTACGCTGCGACCTCGGGAAGGTTTAAAGCTTCACATAAGTAGACGAGGTTGAGGACATCTTTCTGGAAGCAACTCCCACCAAATCCTAAGTGAATCGAATGAACAATAAAACTTATTCTTCTTTCTTTACGTTCTTTCTTTACGGAATAAAGTTATATCGTCTAATAAAATTGAAATGCCAACCACCTCTTTTTTTATTATAGTGATTTTTATATTAAATGTGTTGAAAAACGAGCCGCTTTTAACATAATTAAAATTCTGACGTATTCATATAAAATGGTTACCACGATGGGATCCTGTTAACGGGTTCTAATATCATTCATACAGTCATGAATTTTCCAAAAAGGATAATTATGCGTTTTTAAACGCATAATTATCCATTTAAAAATGGTAGGGCTTTGAGGATGGTGCATGTTCATTCTTCAACTCCTCGAGCTTTAAAATTGTTCTTTAGAAACAAAATTGCCGCTCACCAACTGATGCTTGTAAAAATTTATTCCCAATCCTCGAGTCTCTACCAATGGCATTGGAGACTTCAGAGACATCAGCACCAGTCGCCTCGCACACTGCGCTCAATGCGTTAATACTGGAAATCCTTTGAGCTAGAAAAGCATTTGCTGCCTAAAAAGATAAGGTTATTAAGAATTACATAGCAGTTACCTCCTCAGGTGGAAGACAAAAACTTATTTTTTTGGTTTATATTCTACTTGGTTTCTTTTTTTTGGACGTACAGTAGTCAAGGATGGATTTCGTTAGGATCGATTTTGTAAATTTGGAGAAAAAAACGAAGATAATTTTCTGACGTGAATGAAAAGTTCTGATAAAGTTTTTGTCGTTTCAATGAATTACATTTCATATTTACGGGTTATGCTTATATTCGAGTCTGTACCAGTTTTGATAATTCTGACGACCATGTATTAGTCTTGATAACTCTATCTGCGGGAATCCAGTGCTCGTAAATCCATGCTAACGTATCAATAGCTACTTTTCCTCCCCGAGTCTGTTCTCCACCTGAAACACAATGTCATAATCTTTAAATATTGTGGTGGACAACCACCAGTTTTACTTTTAGAGTGAGAAAATGACTTCAATTCTTTTCATTCTATGTAGATGGCAATGAAGAAGAATTCTGATCATGAGATGTAATTTTTTGCCCCTAAAAGGGTCAACATTTTCGAAGTTGACCATCTGCTGGCCCCTACAGGGATAACTATTATTAATAGTGAAACCAACCAATGAGCCACTGGGTACTTTGGTTTGTACTGCCATCTGCTAGCTTTAATCATTCATATGTTCCTTTATTTAATTAAACAAAAGCAAAGTTCAAGTACTGGTATATATTCTACCTATTAAAACCCTGTCTGGTTTTAGCAAATCATTGATAGCTGTGCCCTCGGCCAAGAATTCTGGATTGGACAAGACCTGGAAAAACGTATTTTGAATCATTAATCTTGATCAATAGCATTTAATAATTGAAATTTAAATTAAACATGAATTTTGACACACCTCGTAAAGTATTCCAGACTGCTTATTGGCTTTTAATATTGTTGATATGCTGAAAAAATTGGGTTGTACGATCCATTGTTATTGATGCAGTTAATTGGTAGATTGGTTTTGTTGGATACCTGTTTTAAAATTAGTGTTTGATTTGCACCAATTTCATTGATTGATAGATTGTTACTTGCTTGTTAATTGGCTGACTGCATGTAATAATATAATGATCAATGATTGATTATCCAATAATTAATCATTGATGATTGATCAATATTTGATCAAGATGATTGATCAATATTTGATCAATGATCAATTTGCTGACTATGGTAATAATTGATAATTAACCATTGATCATCATCAATCATTGATGATAAATTTATCATAATGCACAATTAATCCTCTATCATTGATTAGTATCTCAATTAACTAGTTTGTTAACACACGAATTGATTGATTGTTAATTGGAAAATTTAGCTCATGTTACCTTTCAGCCGCTCTAACTGGTACTGTACTTTTCTCAACAATAATCTTGTGGGTTTTGGCCACTTTAGAAATGTGACGGGCTGCAGATTCAATGTACTTTAAGTCGGGTGCTCGTCCCTATGTGAAGAAAATAGTGGTATAATTATAGCACTGGGTAGAACAAGTGTCAAGTGTATATAGAATATATCCACATGTCTTCATAAATTAAATTCAGTACAAAGTAATTATGAAACAAAAATTGTACCTTTCCAAGCCCAAATGTTTTTGTAGGAGTATTTACCTGTAAGACAAATCAAGTAAATTAAACTAACTACATATGTGAAATCTGCATTGGCATACGGGGCTGATGCTTTTTTTTGGGGGGGGGGGGGAGCAGTTGGAAGTTGGATTGTAATGTGAAATAACCTGAATTTAGCATATTTCCTGATAAATCTGCCTGAATTTTCTTGATTTTTCCTAGCATTTGCCTGAATTTTCATGGCTTTCTAAAGGGGTTTTTTTTTGGGGGGGGGAATTCTGCCCCCAGTCTCCTACACACACATGGCAGTAATAATCCAAGCCAACAAGCCAGACCAATAATTTCTTATGCGAGATGCAAAATTAATTTATTCAGATTTGTTTTTAATCCTCGCATATTATTAGATCTTAGCAACGACAATGTAACAAATTAAGTTAGCAACACTTATTAAATATTAACCAAAAATAGAAACCAATTTTTTTTATCGAATCCAATCTTTATTGCAAGGGCAAACACTTATTAATAGATTCGAATATTGAGGGAGAACAACTCACACAGATAAATATTAGATCGGCTTCGATAATCGCCTTGTCAATATCGGTGGAATAGAATAGATTCTTCCCGCGACAATTTTCGACTATTTCTTGTAGCCCAGGCTAAATTGTAACAAAAAATGATACTTTTATAAAATGACTACGATAAACCTTGGTGTACAAAATATATTGTTAAATGTCACAGACAATACTCACCTCGTATATTGGCAGTCTGTTGGAATTCCAAGCGTCTATTCTAGGTTGGCTTAGATCGACTACAGTAACACAAATTTCAGGGCAATTTAGCGCGATCACAGCACATGTTGGGCCCCCGACATACCCTGCCCCTATACAACAGATTTTACTGACAGGCTGCATTTTAAATACGAGATTTTGTTTTGGTTTCTAAGCAAAATATTTGAAAGAATTTCTTGTCCAAATCAAAACAATGGAGTGAATATATTGTCTACGTGGCGAGTCCCCACGTGGGAAAACAATCAGTGCGTGCTCAGGTGTTGACATTTTACGTGCAGAGACTTCAGAAAGCGTGCTCTTTTAAACGTTTTTCGTGGTCGTTTGTGAAATTGTTTCTCCCAACCGTGCAAAAAATTGAGACGGCGTGCTCTGCTCATCGTCTTGCGTGTTATAGCGTGTCCATACGTGCGGATTGCTGACGTTTTCGTTATTTGCATGTAAAAAAAACGTTAGAAAGTGTGGTCCATCTAATCTTACATTTTGCAATATTTAATTTGTGACAATTACTGGTTGTTTTGGAAACGGTAATTAGGTCATAAAGATATAGAAAATATAGCTTTTTTTTTGTATCAGTTACTTTTCCTCGTAAACTAAAGAATTAAGACATTATTTAGTTCAGAAATTCAGTGTACAAGTTCACTTTCCATGTTTTATGGCTACTGTATAAAAAGTTGTGTATATTTCAAAATGTTTCACAATAATAGGGGATTTTCCCTGAGGTTTCCCTACACTTGAGCCCACGCATTTGACCACTGACCAGTGTCTGGTTGTCAAGGAGACCGTGTAGTTGCAATTTTGTTTTATGGAGTAAAATTTATTTCTTGTTGACTTTCTGGTCGATTTTTAAGAGAAATCTCATCGAAATGGGCAAAAAGAAAGGAAAGGAGCCTGAACCGCCTGCTAAGGACGAGGTTAGAGTCATAAAAATGATAATCAGGCGTATAGATTGATTAGATTCTAGTGTATAAAATTGTGAACTATGTTGACTATTTTTTATGTTTTGTTTTAATTATAGTTTGATCCTCTACAAATCGTGAGTAAAAATCCTGGCACAGTTGTGCTGATGCTTGATTCGCCTGAAGAAACGGTGTTACAGTCTGCCTGCGAAGCTTTATATATGTTTTCAGAAAAATGTAAGCGCGATTTATAAATTATTATAAGGTATTTTAAAAGTAGTAATCAGCTTACTATAGAATGACATATAAGCCCTTCATGTTTTGTCGATATAATTTCAAGTTGAAAACTGGATCGTGTAAAAACTGAATTGATAAATTATGATTCTTCTTTTTTATGATCTATATTAAAGTGTAGGTGTTTGCTGTTGTTGATTTAATATGATTGGTTCACTTATGTCACATGATCATTGTTGCTTTGCTATGTTTTGCCCTATGAATCGCTGCACATGCACCTTGGCATTTACTACGATTGCCTAAAATTTGCCTGATGTTTGTTAAATTGCCCAACCCAAAAAATTATTTTCATATACTTTCCAAAATCACGTTTGAACAGGGGGGCAATTACATTGCCTGATTTTTAAGTACAAACTGCCCAACCAAAAAATGACTAAGTGCAGCCCCCCTGTACCAATGCCAGTAACTTCATTTTCTCCACATGCATGGCCCTTAACTTCTGCATCCTGACAGTAATATTTCAAATCCGACTACGAGGACTGTACTAGATTTCAAGTCCGCGAGGCGAAGCCGAGAACTGGATCAAAATGTGAGGACTTGAAATTTAGTTCAGTCCGAGTTGGAGGATTTGAAATCTCATGCGAATAAATCACTATTTAATAAATTTTGATCCAGTCCAAGGATTGAATTAATTTTGATCCAGTCCAAGGATTGAATTAATTTTGATCCAGTCCAAGGATTGAATTAATTTTGATCCAGTCCAAGGATTGAATTAATTTTGGTCCAGTCCTAAGGACTGGATCAATATACTTGACCAGGTATCCAGTATTATCATGTGAACAAAATAAAGCAATATGGTTGGAAATAATTTACTCATGAATTATTAATGAGTTTGAGATTGGCAGATGACTTATGTAATTACAGTACGTAGCTCAAATTATTGTACTTATAAATATATAATGGCAGTTAAGTTCACTGAACCATACACTGCTGTATATCTCCCACTATGCATGCCATAATTGCTTATTTAGATTTACAATTATTATATACATATACCACAGGTGAGGAAAATCGACAAACACTTCTGACTCTTGGAGCTTTGGAAAGGCTGCTCAAACACACCATGTCAGAAGATAAAATGATTCGAAAAAATGCCACCAGGTGCCTTGGAACAATGAGTCAAAATGGTGATTGAGTTTATTCATTTTTATCATCACTAGAAGAGCGCTTAAGAGGCTGTCTCTGTAAAAACCGGGCACCCAGTTCTGGAAGGAAATATGAAAGTCTTCAAATTTTTCACAATAATTTTCCTTTCAGGTACTTGTATGAAAAAAGAAATCGGTTTGCGTTAAAAAGCTTTTTTTGTAAAATTTGGCCCATCGATATTTTACACCTTGACGGGTCCAAAATGGCGGCCTGAAACTGCCGTAAATAGAAGATTTTCGTACGACTCTCGCGAAGCAAGTAGGTAAGTGAGAGTCTTATGTATCAAAATATTTTAACAATCAGTGGTTATAGTTTCTTGCAACAAAAAATCAGGAACATCTATCCAGGATTTGAGGAGAAATAATTTTCTGAAAAGATACACTTTTACTAGTTTGCAAAATCGCACATTATAAGACAAATTAAATAGCAATTTTCGTAAGTTTGGCACCTTATACCAAGTACACATTACTACCATTGTGAACCTAGAGCTGTATTTTTTTAACGGGAAACGTAAAATATTTGGGCACTTGACGGGCATAGCCACAAATCATCTACAAAGTTTGATAATTTTCCTGTAATTGACGAGTGACGACGCATGCGTTGCTAACGTAATTTTTCTTGAAAACTCTCACCCAGCAAAATTGCTGGAAAAATAACTTAAAATTCAACTTTTATTTTGCTTTTGTTTATTAAACGTTTCGCAATTAATACGCAAATGTTTTTTCTGTCGCGCTTGGTCATTTATTTTTGTATTTATTTTTACCGGTGGTTCCATGTTCATTGCAGGGGCGTGCTCAAGTTATGAATATCTTGAATCGATTAGCAAACGGCTTGAAATATCGATCGCCGAATACAGGCATTTGTTTAAATTGTAAAACTTATAACAATCTTTTAATATATCCTTTCATAAACAAAGATTACAATTCTGCAAATAAGTTGCTATATTAAATAAATGTAAAAATGTATGCTACATGCTAATTAGGTCGAGCATTGTCAGAAACCGGAAAGTGTCAATTTCTCTGCTGAATATTTTGACGCGTGGTACTATCAATGAATAAACAATCGCTTTTTACACGCCCCCTGTGGAAAATCAGCTTCGGTTGACAGGGTTAGCGTGGGTAAATAAAGTTTATCTATCTATTTCAAATGTGACGTATTAAGCTGTTATATTCACCTACAGGTGAATATAACAAAACCAAAATTTACAGAATGGCGGCTAGCCGTTTTGTGGAAGTTACTGATAAAGAAATAAGCGAAATTAAAATAAATTCAGTCCTAAAAACACATAAGGCTTGTGTAAAAATGCTAAAACTCAGGCTCAGTGATTATCGGGGAATATTCACCTCTTATAAACACACGCCTATATTACATTCCACAAACTTTTGGCATTCGTCTGAAGTACAAATTGGCACTATTCGTGGCAACAAAGCTACAACCCTACAACTTTACAGCTCTACAACTCTACAGCCCGACAGCTCTAGAACTCTACAGCTCTACAACACTACAGCTC